AACTATTATCTGCAACTATTTTTACGGAGAATAAGGAGACTATGAAAACCTAGTCAGTGAAAATGAACCGTAGTTTCTGAACTCCAAAAGAATGGAGTGTGACATTTTCATCTCTTATCTACTCCCATTGTTCCTTATTCGCATCAATGCACTTTAGATAAAAACTTTACTTCGTGCTGAAACTGTCGGGCTTACATTAGTGAACTCTGACCTTATGGAAGAGTAGAATCCAGAAGTCCCGGTTACAAAACTATCTCTAATTATTTAGCCAAATATTTAAGTAAAAGTTTTCATTTACGCTCTCTTTATGCTCAGCATGGTTTAAAAGATAATCACAAAACTTATCGGTTTTTTAAGCATCTTTATCAATATGAGCAAAACCAGGTTCTCCTAATTGGTCAACAGAGATTAGATGGTTTAACTGGTCAACATTTACCCAAAAATCAAAAAGTATTTCGTAAATTCAATTATCGAACTTCTGAAACTAGTTATTTTTACCGCACTCAAGAAAAACTAGTGGGCAAGTGTGCTAATCCGGTGCTGATCAAAAAGAACTATCGTTTAGGAACTCGTTCTTTAAATTCTTTAAACTTGCTAAATTTAGCTACTAAGCACTCCCAAAAAGAACTTTATCAGTTTAAAAAACCGCTAAAACCAACTCTGCAAAATGACTTTCAAGAATTTTTAATCACTAGACTTTTACTACTCTGTAAAAAAGCGGAATTTTTACATATTCCGCTCGAACAAGAGCAAGTTCCCAAAGAACTTGCTAACTGTGATCAAACTATTCGTAATCACTTTAAGCATCTACCAGTTTTACATTTCTCTTTTTTACCGGAACAAGCATCTTTAATTAGAGCATTTATGGCTAAATTAGATGACTATGCTTCAGAATATGATTTAGCAGAAAGTAAAGAATTTCTTACTTATCCGCTAGCTCATAATGCTCAACATGAAACTATCACTAAACTAGGAGGTTGCTGTGGTTGTGATCCCACTAAATTAAGAAACCAATATTTAGATAACTGGTATTTAGATTACTCGGCTAATAATACTGATTACCGAAAAGCATCTTTTTAACTATTATGAATCACCAACTAACCCAAATCGAACAGAGAACCCCTATCTAAAGGAGAGATCACTCTCCTGCTAACTGGTTTTGACACGATTAGTTAGCGGACACATATGAGCCTAAACTAAGCAGGGTTGAAACCCTAGTTCTCTCATTCTCACCACCTTAGTTAGGTACTTGTAGTATTCTTAGGAATAGTCGTAGTTTAAAACTCCCGCCAATTTAGGGCAGTGGTGAGAAGCCAAATTTGGGAGTGCCAATAGTCTCAGTGATTAGGAAACTTTTTGCTGAGAAAACAAGGGGGTAACCCCTCACTTCCACCAATAAAAATTTATGAAAACCCCCTATAACTACTGCCTTAAATGCCAAAAATGACTTGGTTGACCCAGATATTTAGCCTTTTGAGAAAAAGAAAAAATCTGTGCTACTTGTCAAACTCAAAAACCTAAACCAATTGAATTTTTTTAAATTATGAATCACACTGAATTATCCGTCAAAACCACCATTGAAGACATTGAACCTAAATTAGATAAAAACTTCAAACCTTACTTTAAACTAAGTTTGCGAGGTTTCACCAACCCCTTTTATGCTTTTAGTTATCATCTCTCCCCCGAGACTTTAACCATGCTTAAAGAAAAACCCGAGCAATTCACTAATCAATTAGCCCTAATTGCTTATCAAGAGTTACCTAATTTAGATGGTCAAGGAACTTTTTTTAAGGTTAAAGCAATTGAAATATATGAATAACCCAGAAAAGAAGTTAGAATTAACCCAAAAAATCCAAATTCTCCAAGAATTAACTACCCAGTTAGAAGTTCATGAAGAAAATAATCAAGAAGCTGGGGTTATGTCGCACTTCTTAAAAATAATCGCTAATCTGTTTGAAGAAGTTAATCAAAGACTAACCGAACTAGAAAAAAAGCCAGCAACCAACTAATTATGAATCACCAAAAACCTTGTGAGTATAACTATTCTAATTGCCAAAAAATAGCGACCATTAATCATTATTTACCAAACAGTAATTTTGCTAAAGATTGCTGAACTTGTGCTAATTGTTGAAAAGTTATTTGCCAGTCAGAAATTTAACTAATTATGAAAAGCCTAACCCTAAAAGAAAAATTTCACTTAGAAAAGGTAATTTTAAACCCTATTGACCGAAGTCAGGGAAGATATGAAGCAATTTTGGAATATGTGAAAAAAAATCTCCAAATAGAATATTGAGAATCCGAAAGAACTGGCAAAATATCCAAGATCCTGTCTTTAAATCTTCCTACTAAGCAAGGAACTAAAAACTATCACAGTTTTTTAGATTTTCAAGAAGGAAAAGATGATCAAGAAAAGGAACAGAATGCTAGAGAAAAAATAGCCCAACAAATATTTAACGATCATTAAAGGTATGAATAATTTACTTTACATAATCTCCTCTTTTGTCAACTTATTAGCTCTAATTAGGCACTTTTACCCTAATAAGTTTACAAAATCTCTCATCTAAAAGTTTACAAAAATGAAAAGAACGCAAGAACAAGTTTTAACTTTTACTGAATTATCTGCTCTCGGTCAAATTCCTTCCCATCCATCTTTACCCAAAAAGAATGATAAGTTATTAGAATGTATTCTTTTAATGGCTTATTTAGGATTAAGAGTGAGTGAAGCAATCAAGTTCTCTTGGCAAACTGTTCTAGTAGAAAATAAGCCAGCATTGGTGGTTTTAGGAAAAGGTAACAAACAAAGATTGGTTTTTAATTTACTGAATAATAGTTACATTGCCAAAAAAATTGAAAAAATATCAATTCTAATTTTACTTCTGAACTAATCCAACAATGACAAAACTTAAATTTCACTTACCAACAAACTAAAGAATGAATTAATATTGGTTTAACTCCTAATGACTATAATTTTTGTGCTTGATTAAGAGATGCCAAAAGTTATACCCCTGAAAGTTTATTGAATCAAGGAAATCAAGAAGAGTTAAGAGAAGAATATCAAAATCATCAACAATCACAAATTCACATAGAAATTCCTCCTAAATAAAACCCTAACAAAAACTATTAACTATTCTTAAACCTATAGAAAATTACTGAATACTTTAAAATTAATAATATAATAAACTAACTGAAAATATACTCTCACTAATACACTTTAACTCTTATGAATAGCTCTAATATCTTGTATCTCCAATACCTATAGCTCCTTTTGGCAACCCAAAAGAAATTCCCTCCATAAATGCTTCATAAGTGCTATCGTAAACAACGTGACAAACACCATTACCAGTTGCCTTCCTGCCAGTTATTGGGTCAACAGTTTCTTTTTCCCCAGCTCCTTTCTTTAAAATAGTAACTCCTTTTTGGACTTGCTTACTGTCAATACTTTTTAAGAATGTCAAAGTTTTACCTTTACCTAGCCTATCCTCTAACTTCAAAGGAGTACCTGACTGAAATCCTGATGTGTAATAACTTTCAATCGGATAAGAAGAATTAATCGAGAACTTTTTACCTTTGAAAGTAGCACTCATTTTTAATACTCTGAACTTGGCATTATTATTGTCATCAGTTAAGATAATAGTATCTCTTATCATTTCCAGATATTCAGGTATGGCAAAGTCGGCTTCATCAAAAACAACCAAAGAGCCGTTAGGAACAACATATTCCTTAATTTTGGCTACATTAGCCTCAAATTGAGCTTTTTGTTCAGGTGTTACATTTTTACCCCCCTTACTACTATTAAGCACCGAAGTATCACACAAAGTAGCAGCCATGTAAGCATTAAAATATTTTGGCTCCATAATAGACAAGCCATCAACCAACTTATTCATTTCTACCTTATAAGAACCGTGGGATACATAAGAACCATCCCCAGCTGGTTCTTGGTGAACTACACAACCTCATTTTTGTAATCAGGATTTGTGATGATTATAAGCACTTTGAACTAGGGGTTTAGTTGGACAAACCAAAATAACATTGTTGGTTAAACCTAACTTTTTCATCATGTAAAGTAAACAATTTATAGTTTTAGTTGTTTTACCTACACCAGTTCCAATAGCCAAATGCCCTTTTAACTTAAACTTACCATCGGTGAAAATATCCCCATTTTCAAAATACTTATTTTTTAAGTATTCAAGAGTTTTATCAGTATACTTTTTTGGATTATTATTCTTAGGGTCTAAACTAAAGGGTAAAGTAGTATCAATAACTTCCTTTCTTTTAATAACTTTTGCTGCTCCTTGGACTTCTAATTCTTCTCACTCACAAAAATCGGGTTCATCTTTATTATAATTATTCATTTTGTAGTATTCGGGTAATGCATAAGTTCCCCGAGTAGCTTTGGGCAGCTGGTCTTCTTTAGCAATAATTTCAGTATCCATTTCAAAAGCTCCTTGGTCTTTCAAGTATTGGTTAAGGTCATCTCCATCTTTAATACCATTTTCTTCCTTTCCAACTTTGGCTTCCACCCCTTCACAAGCATTAAGGAATTCATTTAATATTTCGGGGGTTAAAGGGTCGTATTCTCGAATATCCCAAACATTTTTTTCCTCTGTTTCAGCCAAGGATAATAATTCAGAATCAATACCTTTATCCCTTGGATCAGTGGAAGTTAGATTAAATCATAACCCATCTCTCACTTCTTTTCTCTTATTAATAATATCAGTAGATTTTTTATTAGGCGGCAATAATTTATCCTTTAAGGCTTTAATTTCCTCTTCCTTATAAGTGGGGGTAAGGTCATGCAAAGAAGTTTGCTTGCTAATATCATTTAATAGGCTATCAGCTTTTTTGATTTCACTATCAACATCAAACTGCTTAATTTCTAGAACATCAATATTTGCTAAGCCTTGATAATTAGTAGTTTTGTTCTTAATATCTTCCGGCTTAGTTCAACCATTATTAAAAGCTTTTCTCTCATCAGTTCCGTTTCCACCTAAACCTGTCTCAGCAGTTCTTCATTTATCAATTCCATCATCAGAAAGCCCGTGACTTGTATTTCCTCCTTCGAAAGCGATTTTAAATAAAGATTTAAGTTTATTATCTCTTTCTTTTCTAATTTCAGCATAGTTTATACCGCTTGGAACCTTTCCTTCGTCGTAAGCTCCAGTCCCAATCTCGCCATCTTTCGGCAGTTTAGATAGGTCAGTTTCATTTTTTATTCTTTTTAATAAATTGTGAGCTTTTTCTATTTCACCCTTTTGATGTATTTTTTGGTCAATATTTTCAGTTGTTTGTCCTTCTGAACTATGTTTATTAGTAATACTTCTCCAACCATTAGCATAAACTTTTTTAGCTTCCTCAACCGATAAACTGCTCTTCCAAGCATTTTTGTCATCAATATCATTTTTGCCAGAGAAAAAATCATTTCACTCTTTTTGTTCCGGAGTTAGTTGTTCTGAAGGAATTATTGGTTCTTCTGGCTTTGGTGGTACAGGAGGAGTCGGTGTAGATTGCTGATTAGATGCAGCTCCCTTATATACACCTTGCTCATCAAAACTTTTACTTCCGCCAAGTCTTCTTTCAAATTCTTCTACCGTAACTGCTTTGCCGCTACTATTCTTTTTTAAATCATTAATATCTTTCTTTAAATTATTAATCTCCTGTTCTAATTCTTTCACAGTTTGACTCAGTGGTTTTCCATCTGATCCGATGACATTAGCTCCATCTTTTTTCAATACTGTTAAAAGTTCTTCTATTCTTTTTTGTGTGTCTGTTGGCATATTAGTTACTTGTATATTTATAGTTCCTTATTCCAACCACTAAACCATGCAATTAAGCTAATTATATCTAAGAAGTAGTGATTGGCTTTCAAGTTTTTAGTATACCATTCAGTTCATTTGGAAAAATAAACTAGATAACATTGATTATTCCTCTTAGATATTTTTTTTCGTTTTGACCATAGGCGTTATTTTATATTGATCCCTCCAAGAAGGAATAATAATTTTATGTTATATAAATTATATTTTAAGACTATTAATTACTCTTCTTAAAGTTTATTCTCTCTTTTGGTAGAAATTTCTTAAATGTTTTTCGAATTTCTGAGTTTGTGAACAATGTTAAAACTTGTAATAAATTTGACAAATAAATACCACACCTATTAAAAAGTCAAGATAAAAAAGCAGATCAATTAGAAACTAAAATAAATAATTATATATATATATATATATATATATATATCATATGCAATGAATTAGAACCAATTTAAGTAACAATGTTTACAAATATCATTTCCTCAACTCTAACCAAACTAGATTAAGTTGAAAAAATGTCCTAGAACTTGTTAAAAATAAAGATAAAAATTTTTTAGCGGTTGGTAAAGGTGCATTAGACGATGCTAATAGCAAATCATTTCCTTACGCCTGAAATTGCTCTCCCGTATCAAAATCTACTTTAGATAGAAGTTTTGAATTTGTGGTAACTAAAAAGAGTGCTTTGGAGAGCGATAAACAAGATTATTCTGATTTTAAAACGTATATCGATAATAGTTCTAACCAATATGTTTGTAATTTTCCTAATTTAGGGAGGGATGCAACTTTGGTTATTCCTATTCCTGTCAGTGGACTAAACTTTAATAACATTTCTCGTTTTACTGAAAATGCCTCACCGAAACAGCAAGAAAATTTCTGAGAAGGAGTTGCCAGTCAAGTAAGCGAAGAATTGAATAAAGACGGAAAAACAATATGGTTAAATACCCACGGAACAGGAGTTAATTATTTGCATGTTAGAATTGACAATTCTCCTAAATATTATTTCTTTGAGGACTACAAAAATCCAAACTATGTTCCAATTCCGCAAACTCCTAAGGAAAAATTGCTAGCCAACTTGGATAAAATATGCCTAGACCCTACCGGTGGTTTTGCTAATTCCCAAGCCGTAGAAAAATATTGAAGTTGGGGCGACTATTATGACAATGGAGAAGCCAAAAAGCACGGACAACATAAAATTACCGACCAAAATGGGGAAGAAATAAATTTAGAAGAATATTTAAGTTTTGAGGAGCGAGAACGAGATATATTTCACAAAGAAATTCGCACCGCCATCATTAACAATATCAAGAAAAATCCGCAAGATTGAGAAATTTACAGTGACGGTTCCGATTCTCAGCGAGGAAACTTTATCAAAAACAAAAAAACTGGCGTAAAACATTACAAAAGCGGTTTTACTATTTTTACAGAAAAGATAAATGGAGAATGAGATGAGAAAGTAGGGCAAAGAGATTGAGCCGAAATCAAAAATAATATAAAAAATTCGCCGAATAAAGAACAAGAATTAAAAAAATGATACAATCCGCTTGACTACCCTTTACCTTGAACAATAACTCTTGCCCTTTCTACCCTGCTTATCGTTATTACTATGACTTTCTGAAAAAGAACTAAAAAGAGATTTTAAAGATACTTATTAATTAACCCTTGAACTGTATCAGTTGGCTGTGCCCCACATTTTAGTCATTTATTAATATTTTCCTTATCTAACTTTACTGCCTTACTCTGAGGATTATAAAAACCTAAGTATTCTAGATAGGCACCACTATCTCTTTTTCTTCTACTATCAATCGCAATTACTCAAAACGACCGTTGACTTTTATACCTTTGTCCTCTTCCT